TCGTGCCCTGTGCTCCCAGGAGGCCCACTGCAGCGCCCACACGAGGTACTGCCCTGGGGGCCTGCGGGGGGAGGGGCGTGGGGGCCCCGGGACACCTGCTTGTTTTACTGGGGGGCGGGGGGTAGTCTCGTCGTCCTGCCATTGAAGCCTCAGCAGGAGCGTGTTCCCGCGAGCATGGCCTGTGGGCCCACGAGCAGGCTGGTGTCTGAACGTCTTACCTGTGACACTCGCTCTCAGAGTGCCTGGCCCCAAGGCCGAGCTGAGGCCCAGTCAGGAACAGTCTGCGCTCTGGCCCCTGCCCTCCCTGGTCAAAAGGGGTGGCAGCTGGCTTTGGGGTTCTTCGGGGCTCCCTGCCTGGCACCCAGGCTCCGGGGCCACCTGGCACATATGCCCTTGTCCCCCAGCCGACAGCATCGGGGCGCAGCTGCAGGACGCCTGCCTGGCCAGCACCCCGGTGTTCACCCTCCTCATGCAGGTGAGCCCGCAGAGCGCCCTCCCGCGTGCCTGGCCTGTGGGGGGCGCCGGTGGACGTCCCTCATGCAGTGTAGTTTCCTAAAGCCGTGGGTCCTGACAACAGTGCCAGCGTCCCTGCCACACCCTCGCCCGGACCCGGAAGGGATGGGGCTGCGTGGGGTACAATGTCCCCCGGGCTCGGATCGGGGCGGGCAGGCAGCCCGGCGACCGGCCTGCGCCTCTGGGCCTCGGACCCGTGCCGAGAGGACTGGTGGGGGCTGGCCTGGGCCCCATGCAGACCCTTTCGCCGTGGCCCTTGGGCTGTGGGGTAGCTCAGGACGGGCAGGGCCTCCTGCCACACGTGTCACACGTGTGTGGTGTGTGCCCCATGTGTCCCTCAGCTGTTCCACACCGACACTGCCGGCTGCATGGAGGTCATTCGAGAGAGGAAGGCCTGGCCGCCCCCTCTGCCCCCGGCTCGGGCTCAGGTGAGAAGTGGGGGTGCTGGCCGGGCTCCCCAGCTCGTCTTCCCCCTCATCCCCTCGGCAGTGCTGGGTGTAGACGGCGTTGGTCCAGCCAGGAAGAAAGGGATGCCAACTCTTTCCAGGGACAAGGGTGTCTGGGGTCCCGTGGGGCTGGGCTCGGGGAGGGCCTGGAGTCCCGAAGACTCCCCACCATCCGGGAGGAGAGACGGCCCCATGCAGGCCGCCGGCTCCCAGCTTCTCACACCCACACCCTGCTGAGCTGCTCGCCTGGTGCAGGTGGCCAAGCCCACGGGGTCCATCAGGAAAAGGTTGTCCTGAGCCTGGTCACCACTGGAGGAGACCACAAAGTGGTCCAAGGACAACTGTGGCTGTGGTGCCCCAACCAGGCTGCGGGCCCCTGTGCCCTCCTGTCCCACGGCCCGGCCACCTAGATGGGCTCTGCAAGGGGGCCTGGGAGCGGAGCTGCATCAGGAGGGAGGCAGGGGCCTGGGGAGGGGTGCCGGGCCCGGGAGGGCCATCCAGGCTGGGCCCTAGCCTCTGGCTGCAGGAGGGCACAGGGCCAGGCCTGGTGCCCCTCTATGGGCAAGAAGTGAGCTGTGGTCTTGGTGGTGGCACAACGGATTGGGGAGAGCAGTCAGGTGAACAAGGGGGCGGGGCCACGTGAAAAAGGAAAAAGAAAGAGAAGGGATCCAGCCCGGACTCCCCAAGTGCTGAGTCTCTCCCTTCTTTTCCAGGCGCCCTCCAGTGCCCAGAGCATCCCAGGTACTGCCTCTCCCTTTCTCTCGGCTGTTCTGTCCCCCGAGGGCGCTGCCTGGCCAGGACGGATGAGGGTTTTGTTTGAGGGGCGTGAGCCTAGCTGGCTGAGGGGGGTGCTGAGTGCAGTGGGTAAGCCCTGAGGCGCCCCCAGCACAGGCCCGGGAGGCAGAAAAGATGTTCAAGATGTGGGGGCCCCTGGGCTCCTGCTCCCACATGCCCAGCAGCTGCCCGAGGAGACCTCTTGCAGGGCGGGCTGAGGTGGGTCTGGACAGGCACCTGGACCTCCGTGGTGTGTTCCGTCCTCCCTCAGGCCACCTTCCGAGCCAGGTGACAGCCCAAGGCGCTGCAGCAAAGAGACCCAGGCGGGCAGGGGGCAGGGGGCTGCAGACCTGCCCTCCCCAGGACACCCTTCCGGCGCCCCCGCCAGCTCCAGGCCGCCCCCTGCACAAAGTGAAGACTGTGTTCCAGCTGCTTCGAGAGAAGCGGCTGCGGGAGGCCCGTGCCAGCAAGGCTGCCCAGGGCCCCGTGGTGCTCCCACCCCAGCTGCTGGTCTCCTCGCCTGTGATCCTCCAGCCCCCTCTCACACTGGCCTCCTGCGGCCCCCCAGCCACAGGGCCGGGCGTCTCCAAGTCCGCGCTGTCTGGGCCGGGGGCCCCTGCCGCGGCCAGTCCGAGCGCCCCAGGCTCTGGGGTCGCACCCACACAGCCTCTTGCCCTGCAGGCCCTGGCCTGGGCT